TCAGGGATAGGTTCCGATTTGACACTAGGTGGAATCTCATCCTTCAAGAATTTCTCAATAAATGCTCTGATATTTTCCGTTCTTATTTTCATTCTCCTAGCGAGTATATTGTCAAGGTTACGCCTAAATCATGATGTATTCCTCCGCGGCGCATCGGCCCATAGTTAATCTTCGTCCTATTCCCCATATAAGTATAATAATTTAGTATTTAGTGTAACGATAGATAGAAGCACACATAGTTTTCCGCTCAACCTCATCTTTAGCAAGTTACAAAATCTTATGATTTTATTTTCCTTTTAAATAGTTCTTTATATTTAATAAACGAAGCGTTCAAAAGATTAATTATCTCGATACTTCCCTGGTAAACCTTTATTGTATCGCAGGTATAGCAAAAATCGCTTACTCGTATCAGCAGCGGTAGACAAATTCAATCTTGCCATCGAATTTGTAAGACTTAAGCATAAAGATTCTATTCAATTGTTCACAAGCGCGTTTCTATTATTTAAATACTTTCACTACGGTAGACTTTAGATAATAATCCCTATTGAATTACAACCGTGTGCGAGATACTCAGAGGATTGAATAGCATCTAGAGCAAGCGTACGCAGATACCGGATTGTCAGATCCGTGAACTTTGATAAAACCTATAAGGTCACTATAGATTTAAGCGAAGTAGGGATATCAAGGTTGTTACACGAACGCTCTCCCACGTGTGGCAACTCGACGATATCTACACAAGCTTAGCAATAAAAAACAGATATGATCATGCCAATTATTTGGAAAAATGAGATTGGAATCACATCAAGGCCTTGCTGAGCATTGGAGGTAGGAGGTTGAAGCCACTTTGCCGAGATGTGTTGTGCATTGTGTTACGAACCACGTGAGTTTGTGAACGCGCATTTAAGAAAAAATTTTCTGGACCCAGTACTAGTATATTTCAAAACATGACAGGTCCGGTAGTTGATATCAACTTCAGAAAGTATCGCCTCAAACAAAAGAAAAACTCTTTTTTCGCAAAAATGGATGCCCGACTATGGTCATTTCAAAATTTCTATTCTTCTATTATTTACTCTGGAGATATTAAAAAAAATAGTCTTTTTCTTAACGTTACGTATCCTGATCTTGAAATTATTCTGAGCCAATCAAAACTTGGGGATAAATTAAGTAAAACCGAGCAAATTAACAACCCAATCAAAATCGACAACGTAGATGATGTTTGAATCTCGCATAAAACGCGTTTTTCTAGAGGTCAAACAAAATACTCTTTCCCTTTCACCCAGCAATGTTCTTACTTAAGAAAACATTATTTGCAGGGTTGGCCTTTTTGGCCATTAATACATTTCGCTTCGTAAAAGCTGATGAGCAACCATCTGACGTTATTTCATTGACAAAGGACACTTTTCACAGCATTGTTGATCCAGAAAACGTGATTCTTGTGGAGTTTTTCGCTCCGTGGTGTGGTCATTGTAAAGCGTTGGGTGGGCATTAAATTTATCTCTTTATTGCATTATCTTTTCATAATAAATAGGTGGGAATGAGACAATCAAAAGAATAACAAATCTAACGGGTATGTTAATTTATTTTATTCATTTATTTTAATTTTGTTAAATTTATTTAGCTCCCGAGTATGAGAAGGCAGCCACTGCGTTAAAAAAACATAAAATTAAATTAGCCAAAGTTGATTGTACTGCTGAGAGTGAACTATGTCAAGAACATGAAATTAGAGGTTATCCAACGTTAAAAGTTTTCCGTGATGGTAATGCAACGGATTATACAGGCGGTCGAAAAGAAGACTCGATTATTAGTTATATGAAAAAGTGAGCATTTATCTTATAATATTTTTTAATTGTTTGATTGTATCACGCGGAAAATTTAACATGATTATGAATAAATGCTATTATTCTACTATTCAAAAAGACAAACGTTACCCGCAATATCAGATGTCACCGTAGAGAATCTGGATACGTTCAAAGATTCCGAAAACGTGGTTATTGTTGGGTTCTTCACCGCAGACAGTCAAGAAGAGTACAACACATTTGCAAAAGTTGCCGAAGCTAACCGTGATAGCGACTTTGTATTTGGTGCCACTGGACAAAAAGAAGCAGCTGACAAAGAAGACTTAAAACCACCCGTGATAGTCCTCTATAAAAACTTCGATGAACGCAATGCAACACTTTACCCACCTTTTGATGAGGAAAAACTTTCAACATTTATCAAAACAAATTCGATTCCTCTTTTGGCTGAGATTGGCCCAGAAAATTACGCGGCGTATGTTGATTCGGGACTTCCTCTTGCCTTTTTATTCTACGAAAACGACGAACAACGAACTACCCTTGGTAAAGAAATCGAACCTATCGCGTTGGAAACCAAAGGGAAAGTTAACTTTGTCTATATTGATGCTGTTAAATACGGATCTCATGCACAAAACATTAATCTTAAAGAAGTATGGCCAGCATTCGGTATTCAGAAACCTGAAGAAGGATTAAAATATCCGTATGATCAGTCCAAAGAAATAACAACAGAAAATATCAGAGCATTTATTGAGAAATTCTTGAAGGATGAGATTCCACCTAGTGTCAAATCGGAACCTATCCCTGA